ACATCTGAGCTATGGTAGAAGTTAACCGGTGTCTCGAATAAACTCTTTCAATACACTTGCGCCAGATTAATATTGGCTGCCCCCAAGGTCTTCTGCCTGTCTTGGGCAAGTTGCAGTTGCTTCGCCTTCCTTTATGGAGGAAGTCGCACATCACTGTCACTCAAGTAAATCTGATAGAATCGATCTGAAACCCAACCTCAGCTTTGTTGTCCTGGAAAGCGGACAACTGCCAATACAGAGATCTCATGACATAACTCCGTTTTTGGATTTTATTTAATTTTATATGGTTAGAATTCCGTGTTATTCTTTTTTATTGGCCGTTGCTACCTTCACCATGTACCCCATCTTGTCGCAATCTTGCTTTAATCATTTTTACTGTTTGGAGGTATGCAGCTCTCCGATCTTCTCAAATATTCCGTCTTTCAAAAAAGTAGAAAAGAAAAATGAACTACTGATTACTGAAAAGCACGTATTTATTAAATAGCAGAGAAGTGCCATAAAACTCCTACAACTAACAAGAAAATTCAGAAAATTAATGAACTGTCTGTAGACGGAACAGTGCCGTAAAGAACAAACAGGAACAAAGCTATGCCATGTTGTTAAAATTAAATTTAGGTTGTTTAATGTCAATGGGACGTGGAAGAATGTAAGCTGGCTCTCGAGCTATTAATTTCCGCAATTCCGCTTATCGGCAAAACATTTTTCTGCATCGGAATCTAAGGACGAGACTAACGAAGACATTGTAGAAAATAGTCTTGCGTTTGTGATGAAAAATATTCGTAGTCGATTATAACATTCATGCCATGCAGTTTTAGCGTCAATTAAAACATGTCATTGACCTTAGAGTTGAGTAAAGAAGCCATGATATTTTGCAGTTAGTAAACACCTTCAGATATTTACAAAAATACGTATAAGAATAAGAACTCTAATGAGAAACCAGAATAAGAATATTTTTCCAGCCTGTATCATTCGCCATAGAAAATGCGCTAATATGTCTTATTACACATCTGCCTCTCTGAGAAAAGGACGAAAAATTGTGTTGCGTGACAAAAAAATCAGGAACGTCGTTCGAAGAGTATAAGAAAAGTTACCGCAACTGACATTATCGGCAGAGATGGTAAGAAGCGTGGAAACCTTGAGCCAAATGCAAACCAATTTTTGATGATTTTGGTTCATCTATCTGAACGGAGAATGAAGCTTACTAAACGCTCAGTGCTTTCCTCCATCAGCTATGAATGACTTCCATTAATATGTCATAATTCTCGCTGATAAATCATCTTTAGAGCGATGAGCTCCATCGCCGGCCGAAGCAATAAACAATCGGGTATAAATGGCAGCAAACTCAAAAATAAAAAATTATTAGCCACGAAATTGACAGAACCCCCT